GTAGTTCAGTACATATTAGAAGCAGATGCAGTTAGCAGACACATTATAAAACAGTCAGGCCTTCTAAACAGAAGATAGCATTAGACCAGTCACACAGCCTGCATGACATCACAAAAGCAGTACTGGAGAAAGGGTCTTACCTATCACTCAAATCCAAGTCAGCTGGCAATTTTCACAGGAGGCTGAGGTTGCTTGGCCACTCCTGGGGATTATAAGCCAGGAGCCTGTTGCGTGTACTGGAAGAGCCTGCTGGGAACAAGCGCCAAATTACCAAAAATCAAACTCATTGAGGAACAAAAACCTAAGAAACACTGAAAAGATGCCGCCTTACAAAGTCTGCAAACATATACATTTAACCTGTAGAGTGGGGGGGGGGGAGAAGAAGTACATATTGTTCAGATGATCGATAAATGCACCAATGACACATTACAGTTAGGAATAGAACATTGCATTACATTTTTTGCAGCACTCTACTTATGTCACAATATTATGAGCTTAAACAGTTAATTTGTGTATTGCAGTACTCTGATGACGTCTTAATTAATCACCTCATTAATAAACGCAAACATCTTGATGGCTGGGTTAGCTTTACTATACATGTCAGCCCACCTTGTCAAGGTACATAAAAATTACTGGTAAACTTGCCAAATCGTAGCGAACCCCTCTCACCCCAGACAAAACCGGTTTGTGCCTCTTCCATCTGGCAGGAGGCTGAGGTCCATCACGACTAAGACCTCCCGCCACACCAACAGTTTATTCCCATCGGCACTCGGGCTCATCAACAGAGCCCGGTCGCCCACTGACTGACTATAGCGTTCCACCGGTCACTCCCCTTCACATGTCACTTTAACTGTCATTTTTCACTTTGTCGTCACTCGTCACTTATTCGGTAGTGCACTTTATGCTTAATATTTTTTAACTTTATTCTCTTGTTTTACACTAACCCATAGCCTTATTCCTTGTGCACTGCCGTCTTGTTTATTGTTGCACTGTCTACTGTCAAACTGCCAAGACAAATTCCTTGCATGTTTGACAGATTTTGGCAATAAATGTTTCCGGATTCCTGAAATAGTCCTTGATTAGGTTATCTGCATTTTTTTCCAAGAAGATCTCTGAAACAATATTTGAGCTTGATGGAGTAAGCTAAAACATGCTCAGTTTACGAGATACAAGCCAGCATTAGTCTGCCCATATTGTCCACTCAGAAACTGACACCAGTTGCAAGAAACTCAGAAACTCCTTTGATTAAAATCAGACATACCTGGTCGAAAACAGCCATGTTGCAAGCAGTCTTTTAATCAGTTGGTTCCCCTTTGGCGCAGACAACTGACCTCAGTGCATGAGTGCATGTGTACATGGGCCATGAATTTCTCAGGGGGAACTGCCATAAGCTTCTGGAACTCTGCATTGACCAAAATTTAAAAAAAAAACATGATTAATATGGTATCCTGATGAATTATCATTTTAACAAATGAACTGCTCTGCTGAAAGTTTACAATTGTCAACTCCTTGCCACGCACAACAGTGCCGCCCAGATTGACAATTTCAGAATCTAAGATACTACAGATCTCTTGCAGCCGTAAAACCCAATAAAAGAGGTGCACCTCTACTTAAAATGCCAAGCTAAACGAGGATACCAAATTGGACCACCACAGGCATGAGGTAAAACAAGTTACTACCACCACAATAACACTTCACGTCAATTTGAAAGCCAAACGGTATAAAGATAAGTAAAATGCTTACCATTCAGAATACTCTGAGATCAAATCCACCCTTCTGCCTCTCTACTCTCTACTCTCTACTCTGTGCAGCACTAACTGCAGAATGCCTCTCATCCCTCTGCTACACCAGCCCTTTTATAGGGGAGATGTGGCACACCTGAAGACAATTACGAGACACACCTGACGACAATTATGAGACGCACCACTAGACAGCCACTCGTTAAAATAAGGCAGGCAACAAATAGAACCTCATCTGCAATACAACCTCGACAAAAAATGACAGCTACAAATTGTTGTATCTCCCCAAAAAGACATACATTTTCGCTTCTTATACTTTTTTCCCGACACCTGGCGCTTTCCACTCTCCCCTTTTGTTATTTATTCGTTAAGCCCCCATTTTTGATGGTACCATGCTTTTTTATGTATCTTATGAACAAACATGTCAGGCTTTAACACCCAGGGCTACTAAAATGTAAGAGCTACTTGCCAGCAAAAGTATCTTGAGGCTATCCATGTTACTAGACGATTAAACACATCAGTAGATTTAAACACATTAATAAATCAAAAAATATTCATTTAAAACTCACTAACATCAGCATGACTCGCTGACATTAGCGTGACAATAGCTGGTTTGGTTCTGTCGGTTTACTAAATACTTAGTCCGGCATTACCTAATAAAATGTCTCACTCTGTTTTGCATCCGCCAATCTGCTTGTTGCTCCGTGTCAGAAACCTAAACACTCAATAAAACCCCGACTATTTGCTATCCTGGTTTCTAAATGGTGAATGAGCTCCCCGATGACATCAAGACAGTAGAAAGCTTAGACCGCTTCCGATGCAAACTTAAAAACGCACCTTTACCAAATACACCTGGACTAGTTAGCTACTTAATTACTTTATTAGCACTTACAACACACTTACTTATTGCACTTTGTAGTTTTGCTTTTTTGAAGGATTTGCACTTTCTCTTTTCTGGTTGCTCTGGTTCTGTTCCCTCTTGATTGAATGCACTTATTGTTAGTTGCTTTGGATAAAAGCTGTATGATAAATGTAAATATAACCAATTCAGGTGGACCTTTTAATATTTTCTAAAATGTTTACATTATTTGTACACGCAAAATAAAATGTAGCACTAGACTTGCCTTCGATCCAAGTCACGTAATGAGAACATGGAGGCTTTACAGTAGATAAAAAATCTGGAAAGATGTGGATTGCATGACATCAGATGCACCACAAGCAAAACTTGAGGCAGTTTTACTGAAATGAGAAAAGCAAGTTGAGGCCAAATTATTTGAAATCGATTCATGCCACAATAGTACCTTGGACTAACTAAAGCAGAAATCTTATTTAGAATCTTTTGAAACATTACGCTACATCAACTTCTACCAAAATACTCTTTACAGGGCACCTTACAACGTAGGTGGAAGTACACCTTCCCAGGGCCCCAGAAGCTCAGGATTCGGACAAACAAATTGTAGCACTTAAATTGTACTTATAAATGCACTTATCTATAGAAAATTGTAAATTGGCTTATTTGATGAAATTGCACTTTGTTTCTTGCTCTTCTGAGTTTGTATCCCTATGGTTGAATGCACTTGTTGTAAGTCGCTTTGGATCAGGGGTTTCAAACTCAAATACACAGTGGGCCAAAATTTAAAATTAAACAACGTTGAACAAATTAACCTTTTAATATGAACCCAAACAAGTTGTGCTTTAACATTGAATATAGAGCAAGCAACACTTATATAACTTAATAGTGTAGACATGCAAAATCGAATTTCAAATTTTAAAAAACATATCAATGGCCTATTAAGTAAAGTTTAAATAAAGATTGCATGCCTCTTTTCTATTTGCAGTTTCCTGAGGTAAATATCAAAATAAACTTTTTCCACAGGCTAATAAATTTGAAAATAAAATAATTACAATGAATCAATCAATCAATAATTCAGGCCTTGGAATAGCAAGTAAAAGCGCATTAAGAAAACGTTAATTATTGCTCAGTTTGCGACACACTGATCTAGTCTGATGTGCCCGAGCCAGATACCTGGCATTTTCTTGCATAGTTCATCAATGTCTGGGCTCAGGCTCTGAGCTGAGGAAACCCTCAGTCAGGAACGAAAGTGTTCATCAGTCAGACGTCTCCTGTGAGATGTTTTCATCATCTTCATCAAGGAGAAACGTTGCTCACATAGATCAGTGCTGCCGAACATGGAGAGCGATTGAGCTCGGGTGCGGAGCTGAGGCGTTGTGTCAGGGATGAATTGTGGAACCTGTGCGGCGCCAACAGCATCATACTTTGACTTCAGTGTGTCGTTGCACTGGAGCTCAATCAGCTCCATTTGGAGTTTAGTTTTAAAAGCTCTCACTGCTGCGTGCATGTCTGTGACGATGCAGCTGCAGGTGCAGCGCACCGAGATGCTGGAGATGTCCCACAGAAACGTTTGCTCCCGGAGCTCAGCGGTGTTCTTCCCTTTGCTTTGCAGAAACTGACGTGTTTCCTCACGCAGCTCGGGGGAGGCGGGGTGAGCGGGGGCTTCCTGCCGAAGCACGGGTCGCTACTGACACAGAGGAGATGTCTGGGTCCTGTCCTGATTGACAGCAGAGCATTATGGGATTTGTAGTATTAGCGGTGAATGCACCGCTGCTGTATAATACCGGCGGGCAGCTCTAATAGTAATTTGATATTGCCTCGCGGGCCAAATATAATTTCACGGCGGGCCAGAATTTGACACCCATGTTTGAATAAAAGCGTGAGCTAAATGACATGTAATGTAATTTCAAAGGTGCTTGTAAAACTGTGATTTTCATTCCCAATCCCTGTCCCAGGTTGTAAAGCTGCAGTATCATTTGCCCAGCAAATAATTGAGTTGGAACAACTGGGAACTTTAAGTGGAATCACCACCAATTTCCGGTGGAATTATGCAAACTATTGATTTTAAAAAGGAGAAAAGATTACATGCATCTGACTTGAAGCAATTGTGTTATTCGTCATTTGTGTGATATCAATTCAAGTAATTCAATTAAGTTTTCCCATCTATCCTTTTTTTCAGTGAAGCACTGACTGGGTATAAGTTATAGACACACATTTTTTAGAAGCAAAGCACAAACTTTTGAATAGTTATAGACTGTTGCACAACAAGACGCATGGACCAACCATTATAACTTTATCAAATATGGCTACATTTTAGAACAGAATTGATGGGTCAGAGAAGAGAGACTAGCACAGAACACATGACAGTGGAAATAAGACACCGGAAATAAGAGGCGACAGACATTTGAGTCGTTAGGAGAGTGGTTGGATTTCTATATTAAAACACTTTGCACACTTCAGTTAACCAGACTGGTGTAAGATTCAGCCTTATGACATGAAAACGGGACAGAAAACATCAAACTCACATCAGCTGATCACAAGGTTACAACACGTTGGTTTGCTTCTCATCTCGGCTTTTGCAATTATTTAATCCCGACTATTTATTTATCAAAGTGTAAACAGAACCATGTCAATTATTTCAAATTATAGCTTATTAAAATAGATAGCCAGAATGAAGGATCCTCAAGACCTGCTCAACAGTCTCTAGCCTGGAGATCCCGGAAGCTTAGATACCAACTACAATCTCACGTCACATCCTTTCATTAAGCTGTTCTTTAACTGATGGGTTTACTCTCTATGGTGATTAATAAATACATTCCGTCTTAACACATGAATTCTTCTTCAGCTATTCAAAGAAACAAATTATGGATTGAGATTATGTGTCAAATTGCCATGGAAATTCATCTACTTCTAGATTCAGAGGATACTGTTGGTTTGAATGAGAGCATGCCATACAATGTTGACTTTGTTTTGAGCAGGAAGTCAAAGGTCACAGTCAACCCAACTGTTGAGACATCTGAACTTCAGTCGCCATGGTGATTGTGTTAACGCTGCAGGTACAGACGGTTTCGTTCACAAGAGTGAGCTCTCATTAACAAATACATGTTAATGTGTTACTTTGTTTTACTCCATATCACTTTCTTTTTCATCTCTAACGATCCAGACCATCAATTTGTTCTCCTCCCTCATTCTCTTTCGCCCGCTTGACTTTCAGTTTTCGACTGTCGTCCTCTCTTTTTTTCTCCTGCTTCTCACCATCTTTCTTCTTCTGCCTTGATCCTCCCTGGTTTTTCAGGTCCTGAAAGACCTCGGTGAAGAAATGTGGGTCAGCGTTGATTCGCAGCATGTCAGCACTCAACCAGTCAATCAGCACCAGCGCTCGCTCCCAGAATGCATCGCGGCTGGCCTCCACTAAGAAAGGTTTCAGCGGGTACGAGATCTCATTGCCCAAGTAGGAGTAGGCCAGGTAGAGACAAGTGAGGAAGGTAGCGTGGAGCTCCTGCTCTGAAGACACATCCTCGTTGACCGCCTCTCTGCATAACAGGTACACAAACACCAAACTGGCCGGACTGATGAAGCACTGGTCCTGCATGGGGACAGGAAACGTAGTGATATGCAGAAATAGTAGTAGTTTAACTATATATGAGGAGCCTCTAGGTACCTTGTAAAGCTCATACTACAACAAATACTACTACAAATATCTAAATATTTCAACCAGGACAAACACAATAGGACAAAGACAAAGACGAGCACTAGCATGGTTTGGTATTGAGGTATGGGAACTAGATGCAAGCACTGGGTACTAGATGAAGAGTTCTTCGGAGTAGACGTAGAGGTCTGGCGACTAGATATAGAGGTCTTTGTACTAGATACGGAGGTCTGGGGACTAGAACTTGTAACTAAAACACCTACCTGCCAGCCTTGAACCAGCAGCGCTCCATCAACATTTCTGAACCAAAGGACGATCTGATTGGACGACAGCTCCTTTAGTTTGATACAACGCCGACACATGAAGTCAGAAAGACAACGAAGGAGTTCACCTGTGGACGCCTGCAGAGGAAAGGACAAAAGGAGAGGTGACAAAGAAAACACACCACGAGAGAAGAGACCAGGAGAAGAGACCACAAGATAGGAGACAAGGAGAAGAGACCCTGGCAGAGGACATAAGGGAAGGGGACCCCAAAAGAGAGAAAACAAAGACAACAGACCACAACAGCGGAGAGAAGGGAAAGAGATCATGACAGAGGGGACAATACGAAGAGACCATGACAGGGGAGACAAGGAGCAGAGGATAGGAGAAGAGACCAGGAGAGATGGGTGAAGGAGAGAAGACCACAAGAGAGGAGACCTGGAGAATAGTACCTGGTCATTTGCAAGTGCCTATATGTAAAAATGAAGGCTGTCAAAGTTAATGCGTTACAATATGAGATTAATGTGACCAGAATTAATGCAATAAAATATTTTAAGTAGTCTGGCTGCAGTCAGTTAGATCGGAGAGACCGAGACGGTAGTTGAATATGGAGAGAGCTTTTTACATTAGAAGTAAAAAAAAACAAAAAAACGTGATGTACAGCAGAAAACCGCGAAGAGGAATTCCTCGACGTGTCAAACAGAAGGGGGATGAGTGTCAAGCAGACCATTTAGGACTGACAGTGCCCAGAACATGCACGAGGACAGCAAGAAGAGCCTGTGGTTCCACCCGGTGAAATTCAGCCTTGGAGCTGATCAAATGTGTGCAGTTTGTGTTGAAAAAGAATACAATTAAACAGCAGCGCCTAAAATAAACACTTTCTAAAGTGATTACTTGTTAATTTATCGTATTTAATCTTTAGAAAAAAACCTTTTAATCCCAATTCATTTCAAATTTGAAAGAGAATCTACAATTTCAAGGAGTGAGATTAAACACACCTGCACCACTACTCTCCGCGGTGATATGACGCACCTCTGGTCCGGAACGGGTCTGGGTACCAGGACTGGCCTGGATCGGTGAACGGTCTCCGGGGCTCTGTGAATGGTCTGATCCGAAGGGTCGCGCTGCACATGCTGGGACACCACGGGGTTCCCCTTTTTCCCGCCGTTCCTCTTGGCTCGTGCGGCAGCAAGGCGTTTCTTCCACCGGAGCGCGTGCAGCAGCACCGGGTGCCGCTTCCTCTTTTTCTTGTCTTCCTCCTTCTCATCCTGCAGCTCCTTCTTCTCCTCCTCATTGAGGGACTCATAAGGCTCCTGGAGCGCGAGCTTCTCCGGCCTTTTAGCCGGAGACAGTGACAGCACTGTTCCCATGACAACCACCACCCAGTTGCCTTTCTGCAGAAGCAGAGGGTCTGTTTGTCTGTCAACCCGTTAGTGACAAAAATCCATCAAGAAGACCAATCAAAGCGGTCTACAGCTTCATCCTGTCTGCCTGACAGCCCAGTGTGTCCTCGCCTTTGTCGCTGTGTCCTTCTGTGACGCAGACTGATGGACTGGACCAGAGAGGGGCGGGTTCTGCAGAGACGCTGTCTTGGTGCTGAAAAGGTTTAAAGCTGCAGTGAGGCCGATGATAGAAACAGAGATGTGGTTATTTTTATTTTAAAGATAATATCATTAGTGTAATCATTACATCTTTGACATTAACATCATTGTTAGTGTTGGACATTGCTATATATGTATTATTGTTTTTGTATTTTTATAGTAATATTAGTATTTATTACATTATTAAATACTTAATATTAGTGCTGTCAGTTAAACGCGTTATTAGCGGCGTTAACGGAAACCCATTTTAACGGCGTCAATTTTTTTCTCGCTTAATTTCTTGGGGTTTTTTTGCTTTACATCTTGTGACCCAGCTACTTGATCCTGTTTGAGGGACAGTCCTACAAATCCATCCCATCCATTGTCAAACTTCTAATCCTGCACACAGGGTCGCAGGGGGGCTGGAGTCTATCCCAGCCAACGTCCTACAAATGTCACTCACAAAACATGTAAAAAAAAACAAATCCAGCACCCGTCCTTCATCTGTTGGGAGTAAAAACTCCAGCTCGACAGCATACCCACACATGATCGTATATTACATTTACATCAACATGTAAAAACCTTTTTTTCAGGCAAATCATTTCCAACTACATACAAAACCCTAAATGTGCACTTTTATTTTGTACCGCCCTGTTTGGCAATGTTGTTTTTCAATGAAAAAAACATTTGCATAAAGCTAGCCAATCCACTTTTCCGTGTTAAGAGCATTAAAATAAAATAAAAATTATGGAAAAAAATAAATGAAGGGACATTTGGAATAGATACAAATTAGCAATTAATTTTGAGTGAACTATGACATAAATGTGTTTAATCGTGATTAATTATTTTAATTTTTGACAGCACAGCACGTTGACAGCACTACTTAAAATCACAATTATAGAAAGTTGATCTGCCTGATTGAAGAAATCGAACTAAAACTCTTTCTATATTCAAAATCAAAATAAACTTCTGTGATCAAAAAATTCACTCACTCACAAAATCTTACTGGACACGTTTAGCTTAGTTTATATAACGTCATAATTTATTGTTTATCTTTATGCTTTGACCCTTTACTTTCTCCCCCAATTTAGTTTGTGATCTGCAGTTCACTTGGGTCTCCTCCAGATGGAGCTGTTCTCTATATATTCTGTCTAGTACTTCTACCACTGAGCGTCACAGACGACAGAGTCCCCCCGCTTACATTCTAATTACATTTATTTTTGAAACACGTGTGCTGGATTCTTACACTATGAAATATATAACACGCAATAATAACAATCATTATTATTATTAATGTTCTGCCGTTTGTGTGTGTGTGTGTGCATGCAGTGGGCGGAGCTTGTGGCAGCAGAAGACTCATTGTCTGAGTAAGCAGAGAGAGAGAGAGAGAGAGAGAGAGAGAGAGAAAGAGAGAGAGAGAGAGAGAGGGGGGGGGAGAGAGACAAAGAGGAGGAGGCCGACTCTCTCTTTCTTTCTTCATGTGGGGGAGGATTAACCGGCTGATCCGCGACACGCTCTCTCTCTCTCTCACACAACCAACCACACACACACACACACACACACACACACATTTCATATTAACACATAGGGAAAGACACGCACGCACTGATTCATCTGGATCAGCATCCTCATCGTCACCTTCATCATCTCCATCGGCGGCGGCGGCGGCAGCAGCAGCATCCTCATCGGCGGAGAGGACGAGAGACAAAGAGACACACAGACAGACGGAGCGATAGACAGACAGGCGGCGTTTGCCGTCTGACGACAGACTGACAGGAGACAGACGGGCTGGAAACCAACAGGAGAGAGACAGACCAGACAAACAGGCCTTCTGCACCTCCACCGCCCGTATGCCTGTCAGTGTGTGATGGCCGACCACATGATCCTTCCGCTGTGCGTCTGTTGAGTGTGTATTGTTGTAGGTGGGTGTGTTCACTGGGTGTGTGTGTGTGGTCGGTGTGCGCGTGTGATGGGGAATGCAGAGAGCATGGAGACCCAGCTGGCGGTGATCCGGTCCAGAGCTGCTCCGGTCCGACTCCCGATGCCAGACCCAGCCGAACTAGAGGAGCGGTTCTCCATCGCACTGGTAAATACACGCACGCACCGTCTCTCACACACACAGACACTTAACCGACTAGGTAACACGTAAAGAACATTAATGTATCTGTATTATAAATATGCGACAAAAGCAGAACTCATGATGGATCAGACTCAGATAGCTGATGGTAATTTTTCATTTATCAATCACAAATGTCTGTCAGAGGGCTTTAAAATATATATATACAATATATATATATACAACCATAGGTGTTCAAAAGATCACACTTTTTCCTTTCATGTTTTTGGCTTCTTCATGTTGAGATTCTGGTTGTTGGTCAATGATCATAGGGGGTAATCGGGCAAACGGACCGGCCGACAAGGTGGGGGTAGATGTCGTTGCGGGCACGCAGGGGCGAGTGTGCGCACGTGCCCACTTTCTTTCTCGGGCGAGGGGGAGGGGGGGTTAGGCGTATGGAGGGGTCAGGGTGTCCCCTTCAATGTTCAATGGTAGGGGAAAAACTGACATCTTATTCTGACAGTTAAAGTCCTTATCACGAGTCCTGGTTTAGGGGACTAAAGGTTAAGGGTTTAGGGATTACGGTTTGAAGGTTTTTGATAGGCGGGGTGACATTTTTTTCCATTTTTATTTCATTTATTTGCACAATTCCAGCAATACAAAATAAACAAACGTACTAGAAATGAATCTCACTGTGCAGGAAGTGGCAAAAAGCCAAACCAGAGACATCCTGGTTGTAAAGTGCTCTCTTTTGAACGTGAACTGTGTGCCCTAAACTATTTATTGTGCAAATTAGCTGTAAAAATTGTATTCCAGAATTCGATGAACCTGCCTCCTGACAAGGTGCGCCTGCTGCGTTCCTATGACAACGACAAGAAATGGGAGCTGATCTGTGATCAGGTGGGTGGTATTAATAAAGTTCATGAGTTTGAATGTGTTCCTACAACCTTTCTTTAGTCGAGTTAAGAGGTTCTTATACATTACATTAAAAACAGTCATATTTTAATTATTATCATAAAGATATCTAATCATATCAACAGACAGTGACTGTTATTTTCACGACCTAAAAATGTTGTTTCCTCTAAAATTCAACCCAGTCTCACAGCAAAACGTGTAATAGCTACGTTGTGGAACGTGGTATTCTCACGCTTTCTCCCCAAAATCGTGACAATACTACATTTTTTAGCTGAGGGAAAGTTGATAGTCACGTGACCTAGTTGCAAACGAAACGTTGTATTGTCATGCTTTCTCCCCAAAAGCGAGAGAATACCACGTTCCACAACGTAGCTATTACACGTTTTGCTGTGAGACTGGGTTGCTAAAATTACAACTACTACTGTAGTATACAAACCGATTGTCAGAAAAACAGATTATATATTTAAAATATAATATGAATATTACCGTATTACGATAAAATATTCACATGAGAATGGAATTGTCTTTGTGGGATGCAGGAGAGGTTTCAGGTGAAGAACCCTCCGCACACCTACATCCAGAAACTCAGAGGCTTTCTGGACCCGGCTGTCACTCGCAAGGTATTGTGTGATACGAGTTTTTGTGTGAGGGTTTCCTGTGCCGATGGTGGGTTTCAGGACAGAGGATGTCGTATGTGTACAGACTGTAAAGCCCTCTGAGGCAAATTTGTAATTTGCGATTTTTGGCTATACAAAATAAAATGAATTGAATTGAATTGAAATTTAGTTTGTATATGGTTTACAACAGCGGTCAGTATTTTATAGCGAGTAATGAAACAGGTTCCCCACTAAAACATATATTATTGATCCTTTCTGTCATCAACCTGTCCGTCTCTCTTTCGGTTACGGACCCGTTTGTTTCTCTGTCTGTCTGTAGAAGTTCAGAAGAAGAGTCCAGGAGTCAACTCAGATGCTCAGGGAACTTGAGATTTCGCTTCGTACAAACCACATCGGGTCTGTCTGTCTCTCTGCTTTTGACTGTCTATCTTTCTCTGATGACCAGTCTGTCTCTTTATTTGACAACCTGTCTGTCTGTCTCTGCAATAACTCATATGTCTCTCTGATGCTGTACAGGTGGGTCAGGGAGTTCCTGAATGAGGAGAATCGAGGTCTCGACGTTTTGGTCGAGTATTTGTCATTTGCTCAATACGCTGTCACGTGAGTCTGTTCAACTTGAACGCGATTTTAGTTAAACGTTAATCTATTCATTTGAATTCTTTAAATACGAGTACGTCATATTATCAATTGTTATGGGAGGAGGGTTAGTCAACTGATACTCGAATGGGATCAGGTTCGATGGAGAGCAGGCGGAGGTCGGGGGGGAAGTCTCCTCTATAGACTCTCCCTGGAGTCGGTCCATAGAAGATCTCCATGGCGACTGCAGCCTCCCCTCACCGTCCTCTTCTGTGCCCAGAGCAGCTCGACATTCCATCAGGTAGCATGAATAGAGCTGATATCTGACCTCGGACCAGCTAGCAAAGAATGTCCTCTAACCAGCTGCTTGTACATGCAGCTCTGCAATGGTGACTCGCTCCAACACGCTGCCGAGTCGCAGAACTCTAAAGAACTCACGACTGGTCTGCAAGAAAGACGACGTGCATGTTTGCGTGATGTGCCTGAGAGCCATTATGAACTACCAAGTAACTCCATACCTGTCTTCATCACCTTTAAATGACGCCAACAACACCTCACCTATAATATGACCTTTGGCTTCACCTGTCATGTAAAATTGAAACGTACCTAAGGTTTTTTAAATCTAGAGCTTCATTTGTGTCCTCGTCTTCCTTAGTATGGATTCAACATGGTGATGTCTCACCCTCACGCTGTCAACGAGATCGCCCTCAGCCTCAACAACAGGAACCCCAGGTCAGTACATCAGGTCCCCAGGTTTATACCACAGGTCGTCAGGTCAGTACAACAGGTCCCACAGGTCAGTAGGACCACTTAGGGGAGCAGTCACTGGACTCGTTTAATAGTGGCCTAAAAACCTGCCTATTCAGGAAGGCGGTTTTTACTGTATCTTAAATTTTTCCATGTTTTTACTAACATTTACTTCATTTTGATCGCTCTGCTCGCTCTGTCGATCCCTGACGAGGAGTGCGTTGTAAATAAAATGTATTATTATCAAAATGATTACCTCAGCTCATCCGTCGCTCTCCCTCTCTCTGTCAGGACGAAGGCTCTGGTGTTGGAGTTGTTGGCGGCGGTGTGTTTGGTGAGAGGAGGACATGAGATCATCCTGTCAGCCTTCGACCACTTCAAAACTGTAAACCTCTCTCTCTCTCTCTCTCACACACACACACACACACACACACACGCATCATACAATGCCATACACATACACACTTCAGTATTAAGCACACAGTACACACAGACCTCAGATACCAGCAGGTGGAAAATGTGTTAAAGTATTGCTTGATTACCTCTCCTTGACTGGTCTCTTGCAGGTGTGCTCAGAGTCGATGCGCTTTGAGAAGCTGATGGAACATTTTAAGAACGAAGACGACAACATCGACTTTTTGGTATTAATTACTGTGCTGCTTTAAATCCGTTAAAGCATTGATGGCTTTAACCCTTCATTAGAGCATTAGAATAAATGTATATATATACATTTAAAAACAAATATCTATGTATGATCTGTCTATGTATATTTAGTAGTTAACACAACATTCTGATTATTGATTACATTTTCTCTGTCTTCACCCTAAAGTTCAAAAGCAATGTTTAAGTGTAACTTGATTTTCAGATTTATAAAACCAGACTTTAAAACATATATATTATAAATAACATATATATTACAAGATGACCACAAAGCAGGTGAATAACCCCTCGCGTTTGTTGCTGTGTTGACGGTTGGTAGGTGGCCTGCATGCAGTTTATTAACATTGTGGTTCACTCGGTGGAGGACATGAACTTCAGAGTCCATCTCCAGTACGACTTCACCAAACTGAACCTGGACGAGCACCTGGAGGTAACGGGGTCCCATGAACTGCTCTCAGCTAATCGGATGAGGGCTGATGATTAAGACAAGCTGGCCCCCCACATGTCTCTGTACTCGTCTCACTATCCGTCTCAATGCCCGTCTCTCTCTACCCATCTCCCTACCAGAGGCTGAAGCACACAGAGAGTGACAGGCTCCAGGTTCAGATCCAGGCATACCTCGACAACGTGTTCGACGTGGGGACCCTGCTGGAAGACGCCGAGACCAAAACGGCTGCTCTGGAACGGGTGGAGGAACTGGAGGAGAGCATCGGAACAGTAAGTCAGACATGTGAAGAGACAGAGGTGGGGTGATAATGAATGCAATTAAAGACATTGAAGAAACAAATTTAGACAGACATGCTGGCTTCTGACGCATACCTCCACGTGTATCTCTCTCTCTCTCTCAGATGTCAGAGCGTCTTCTGGATGTGGAGAACGAAGCAATGCTTAAGATTGTTGAACTCGAGAAACAGCTGATGCAAACCAACAAGGAGCTGGACCATGTCCGGGTCAGTGTTGTTGCCATGGAAACCACACAAGCATTTGGTCAGCATAGAAACAGAACACCAGACACTGTGTGTAATGAAACTAATGAGACATTTTAAAAATATTGATTTTGGTTTCTTTACCATAACAAAGAAAAGGAGAAAATATTTAAGGTTGAAAAACAATGAGATTGTTCCTTCTGCTTTCCACCTATTCCTACTCAAAAAACACTGCTCACATGCGCAGGAGTCGTATGCCAGCACCAACTCCCAGGTGCACACCTTGCGGCGGATCGTTCGGGAGAAGGATCAGACGATCCGCCGTCAGAGTCGTCTGGAGCGACAGGCTCAGGAGGCCCAGCAGGCCGGAGGACCCGGAGCTCCTCAGCCCACGAGGGGTGAAGGAGATGGGGGAGTCGGGGACTCTGCCTCCCCCTCACCTCCCCTTTGTCCTAACCTGTCCCCCAGGTAAGAGACATGCCTGTTCCCTCCACTGTCACACACAAACTACTGAACTGTACGTCTACGTCGCTTAAAGATGGAAAAACATCCAAATAAGAATTGAGAACCAAAGACTGATGGTAGTAGTTGATTAATTAGCGTATTTATTTCGACAGTCCAGAGACCGTAGCCTATCACAACATGGGACCAGCAATGGTGGGAGCTCCAGGGATGCCAGTCCCGCCCCCTCCACCTCCTCCTCTCCCAATGCCGGGCACAGGTGAGTTTCAGCTCCACCATTCTCAGTAACAAACAAGGTCCAACTGCGGCAAATAAACCAAATTGCTCCTCAAGTCATCAAAAACTACAAGTGCTGCCCTATGACATGACTGAAGGATAAACGTTAGTATAACAGGAACAAATACATCACCTGTTTGAATTATTTCTTCTCTTTGTCTTTAAAGTGCTCAATGGGTCCTACCAGGCACCCCCCCCACCCGCTCCTCCTCCTCCACCTCCTCCACCATGTCGGACCAGCGAGCTCTCTTCCTCTGCCCCCAACCCCCCCCCTCCTCCCCCTGTTGCCCCCGCTCTTCCAGGTTCGGGTGGGTCACCTACAGTGATCTTTAACTCAGGGACTTGCAGGTGAGACTGAACAAGCAGCATTAATATACATTTTAACATATTTGTAATGCGTCCTCTCCCTTACAGAATACTAAAATGCTCCTAAGTCACTACTGTTAACCATTTCTTTGTTTTTGTTGTCGGTGAGTCACAGGGGTTGGGTTTCCCCTTCCAGCCAATCACAATCAAGAACTGTCCGTTATCATGTTAAATGACACGTTTCATAACACTAACATGTTCTTTCTTTCATTCTGCTGGCAGAGGGTCCTCTTAAGTTGTTCTGTACGTTACAATCTTACATTTTACCGGTATCATATTTCGTAACAATCCTACATACTCCTCCGTCCGTCTATCATTCCTTCATCAGCTATTGTCAAAGCCTAAAGACCAGTGAAATATGACCTCAGATTCAGTCTGAACACAATGTAGACGTAATCCTTCTCAAAGTAAATCTGATGTGTAGGCGACTACCTGTGTCTCTGATCACCGGTTTGCCTCCCTGATGTACAGCGGTGAAAATAAAGAAGCCAATCCAGACCAAGTTTAGGATGCCTGTGTTGAACTGGGTCGCCCTTAAACCGAGTCAGATAAACGGGACCGTCTTTAACGACATCGACGACGAGGCTATCCTGCAGGTACAATTACATTAAAGTATTCAAATTATTTACATTCCAATGTGGGTTTTTACAAGAGTAAAAATTAATATTTATAATAAAACTGTTGTCAGTTGTTGTTGACAAGTAAGTTGTTGACAGAGTAAACACAATCTTAATCTAAATGACACCTCCTTGGTAAATAAAGGTCTTATCTATACTTTGGCCAGAGTTTCACCTGATATTTAAAGTTGACTCTTTTATTCCTGAGAATGTTGTAAAAGGGTTTAGCCGGTCTCTCTCTTCCTGTAAATATCTTTCTCTCAGGACCTGAACGTGGAGGAGTTTGAGGAGATGTTTAAAACAAAGGCTCAGGGTCCAGCAGTGGACTTGACTTTGTCCAGACAGAAAGTTCCTCAAAAAGCTCCATCCAAAGTATCTCTGCTGGAGGCCAACCGGTCTAAGAACCTGGCCATCACTTTAAGAAAGGCCGGCCAGGGGCCTGAGGTCATCTGTCGCGCCATCCACACGTAAGTCCACCATAAACAACAATAACAACAACACAGGTGTGAATACCAAAAAGAACCAGTAACAAGAACACAAGTAATACCAACAAGTAATCCATAACAAGTAACATGGGTTGAATAAAGTGACGAGTCACAGGAGTAGAACCATCCCAACCGAAACAAGTAAAACAACTCTGCAAGAAACAAGTAAAGATACTCTACCAGTAACCAGTAAACCACCTCTATGAATACCAGTAACAAGTAAAAACCTTAAATAGCAGACATGTGGACCACATTCACTAAGTATGTGACTTGCAAATGGTCGCACTATATCTTTTTTTTACAGTAATGAGGTTGAATACATATGTACTCAAAACCTTTCTGATTTTGATTTTTACATGTTTTTGAAAAGATGGCTTCCAGACGATGGACCATTTCGTGTTGGTCCATTACATAACATCCAAACAAAATAGATTTGAATCTGTGGGAATACCATGACAAAATGAAGAAAGTCCAAGTGGGATGAATATTAATGCAAAGTACTGTGTATACATATATAACGTGTATATATTTTATGAATATAACTTGTATTTAGTTATTAATAACCAATGACCGTAGAGTGTGACTTATTTTCTATAACAACCTAGATTAAAAACATGATTATATATATGCATGTACATATATGTACTATATATTAACCCTTTGTGTGTCTCCACAGGTTTGACCTTCGCACCGTGCGAGTCGACTTTGTCGAGTGCCTCATGCGTTTCCTGCCCACTGAAGCAGAGGTGAAACTTCTACGGCAATACGAGAGGGATAGAAAGCCTCCCGAGGCTCTGAGTGACGAGGACAGGTTCATGATGCAGTTCAGTCGCATTGAGAGACTCAACCAGCGCATGTCCATCATGACCTTCATGGGCAACTTCGCAGACAATGTGCAGATGTTAACCCCGGTAAGACAGAAAAGTAGAGAGACACATAGGTAGAGACACACAGGCAGAGAGACACACAAGTAGTGGCAGAAGAGTGGCAAAGAGAGGGTAATGGGGCGTCGCCCACCTGAAGCGCCCCTCTTTAAGACCAAAAGAAAAAGAGATAATTCATAAAAAATGTCCATATTTGTGTTTTTGAAATATGGAATGTACCTAGTAATATTTGCTGAAATGAATTGGACAGCCCTACCTAGAGGATTTTCCACCGGCCACCACTGAGGGGGAGATGGGTAGAGATACAGACACACAGTTAGACAGACATACAGACAGAAAGAGATACAGACAGACAAGTATAGCAATTAATGACCTCTTTGGGTGTTGTTTTCTCTTAGCAACTTCACGCCATGATCGCAGCTTCAGTTTCTATCAAATCATCTCAGAAGCTCAAGAAGATCCTGGAGGTCAGTCTGTGCTACTATACAAGTACTCATTATTATTTAAGTATATACATTTAATAAACTATATAGATTATCATTATATAAATATATAAACTCAAAATATATTATCACAGAAATATAACCTATAAATATGCTATTACAAAAGTATATAAACTATAAATTTGTTATTTCAGAAGTAAATACACCATAAATATGTTATAGATATAAAACAAATATAAATCAGTTAACATAAAAGTATGACTCATGAAGTCAATGTATGATGGAAGTGTACTATTAATGTGTTAATGATCTAATAATACTATCACGCATGAATCATTCACTAGGGTTCATAGTTGTGATATAAAAACACAATCACTGCTATGACACTGATCTTTATTTCAGATAAAACACGAGGATCCAATATGTTCATATGCCTTTAATGTATGTGTATATATATATATATATATATATATATATATATATATAAAACGTATGAATACATCTGTATACATGATCGGAGAATTGAGAGTGAAACTTACTAACATACCTTCCTTTGTGTAGATCATTTTGGCTTTGGGGAACTACATGAACAGCAGTAAGAGAGGAGCAGTGTACGGATTCAAGCTGCAGAGTCTAGACCTGGTAACTAACTAACAGAGAGACGGACCGACAGAGAGAAACTGAGACAGACCAGATAGAGAGACGGAGACAAAGAGATGGACAGACAGATACACAAAAACGGATACAGTGATCAATTATGGCAGCATGTTCATTTATATACAAACCTCATCTACTGTTACCGGTTAGCATTAGTTAGGTTAACTTAACTGAGGTTAGGTCAAGCCATTTAACATTGTGTTTGTGTTTCAGCTCCTGGAGACCAAGTCCACAGACAGGAAACAGACGTTACTTCATTACATCGCCAACGTGGTGAGAGACAAATATCCTGCAAAGTGTTTGTTCTACAACGAGCTTCACTATGTGGACAAGGCTGCAGCAGGTAAGTCATCCAATCAGAGCACTCCACCACAGACTCCGCCCTCACCAGTCTTCCGTCCTCATTAGTCTTCTTCTCTCACCTGTCCTCCCCTGTGCAGTGAGTCTAGAGAACGTGCTGTGTGATGTGAAGGAGCTGCAGCGCGGCATGGAGCTCACCTGGAGAGAGTTCAGTGTCCAACACAACGCTATTCTAAAGGATTTCATCAGCAGACACGAATCCCGACTTAGCAAACTGCTGGAGGACGCCCGCATCGCTGAGGTGAGACACGCACATCATGGTGGTGGTTAGCTGCTGCTTTAATATGAATCTTTGATAATGACACATTATTTACATTTTATTGATGCCGATGACATCACTGATCCATCATTACTAATCCTACTTTTTGATAAACCATACATTTTGTCTGGATTTCCATCAGGATGCTTTTGAAGATGTGGTCAAATTTTTCGGAGAGAGTTCAAAGACGATGCCGCCATCGGTGTTCTTCCCCATCTTTGTTCGCTTCATTAAGGCATACAGGGTGAGTGAGTCGGGCACCACCTCCTACACGGGTGGCGTTGTGTACGGACATGGCTGTCTCAACACAGGGTCGTTGAGTATTCAAAGAGTGAGCTTCTGTATTTGTGTATCTACAGCTGGCAGAGGAGGAAAATGAGCAAAGGAGGCGTCAAGAACAAATACTACTCGAGAAGATGGAGCAAGAGGACCAGCAGGAGGAGCAGGAGAGCAAGGTGACTGGCAGCCGAGCTCATAGGCGGCCGGTCTCAGTCGATTCTCACCATCTCTTCGCTCGCAGTATGACATAGCGGCTGGGATATGAGTATTTATGACCTCATAATCTGCTCCCCACCCCCCCCTCCCTCCCTCTTTCTCCAGTCTCCCTCCCACAGGGGCAAGCGGCAGCAGCAGGAGCTTCTCACAGAGCTCAGACGAAAACAAGGAAAAGACAGTCGCCATGTTTACGAAGGAAAGGATGGAGCCATCGAAGACATCATCACAGGTAAAGACATCACCACATGTGACCCCGGAGGAAACCGTGATAGGTGAACTGCAACTCAAGTTCTGTTTTGTTTCTTCCTCACCCGCAGCTCTGAAAGCCGTACCTTTCACGGCCCGATCAGCCAAACGCAGCTCTCGCTTTTTCTGTGACCCCGCCCACTCTGAGGAGCACTACTGATTGAGAGATTAAATCACAGCAAAATACTGGAGGGACCAATTAGCACTTTGAAAACCTGAGTGATGTGAGGTGATGATGTCATGGTCTGTGTGTTCTTATTGGTCTGTCGGTGACCTGACCTGACCTCTGATCTGTCCTCTGTTACAGAACCCCAGTTCTGTGGTGGTTCTGGGTGTATTTACATGGATCTTGTACACGGTTCTGCTCCTTTCCCCTTGTTGTTTTCTACTATGTTTAATGGAGAACAGTTTCTTAGGTTTGTGTTTTTCTTCAAGCTCCTTCAAGTGTTTCACAAAGTCAAGACACTCATCGACCATGTCACCTCCTGTACCCGCCCCTTTTAATCATCTCCTCGCAACTGCTGCCGTTAGCCCGCGAGCCATCACCTGAGCCACACTAGCAGACAGCACAAGGACACACTTTGACCAGCATGAATCCAATTGGTTGGAGGTAAAGAGACAATGAACTGACCTGATTCACGATTCATTAAAGAAGCTCTTCATTCTGTTGATTCAGGACCCACTTGTAAGAGACGGTCCGGAGACTCCGTGGAGGGTCCTGCTCAACCTGAGACTTGAAGGGTTATCCTTAAAGACCTTATGGACTCCCAACTCCTTAGAGACCTTCCGGAGTCCCCACGGAGGGTTCTTCCTAAAGACCTTCTGAGTCCCTAAGCTTGGATGGAGAAGCACAGACGGTTGTTGTCCTCCAGTATTCTATAGTCTAGCATCACGTATCTAGTCCAGAATCAACACCTCATCAACTCCCCCTTTACCGTTATCATGAAAGAACGTAAAATATCATTTCAAGGTAAAACAAAACAAGAGAGACAGCACAACATTTTCTACGTGTACAGACATTTTCTAGAAACATGTGATTGTTTGTTTGTTGTGATTCTGCACTTATTGCTTTAAATAAAACAAAACCGTCTATGTGATAATACTGTCCCTTTAGATTAATATAAAGCTACGTATTAATATGAGCTTTATATTAACACAATCTCAATAATATCAAGACAATTAATAATGTGATTAAAGTAAACACATGTATTGAGTTTAATATAAAGACGACACTATACTGCAATTTAAAACTATAAATATAACTAAATATATATTAATAATAAATATAACCAACATTAAGATGCTTCAAATAAACTAAATTATTCATTAACACAAAGAACTCAAACAACCGTATCTGGTCTGGTTGCCATATTAACACTGAATTACCAAACAAAAGAAGCTGAGACTAATGAGCAAAACAAATTCAACAAAGACAAAATATGCTAAGTTGCAAAAGTGTATAAGACACATAGTTTATTTATACTTAGTTTTTGATATATGTAAGGCCACTTCATATAATTTTACAAATTATTCTACGGCACATTTAGGCGTAATACTTAATTCACTTGACCTGATTTGCTATTCATTTTTTTCCTGACTCATTCATTTTATCTGCGTTCTTAAAATGCTGTAAAACAACATCATTAATTAATCACTTCGGTTAATTAATCTCTTCCTACAAAAAAAACTGTCGAGTGACAAGTGATCATCCAGAGAAAGCATTCGAAGGCTGACCTTTGACGCCAAGTCCTGTCACCTGTAAAAAAACAAACACAAATTGGTGGTACAGGTGTGTTGTTGGTACAGGTGAGCTTGTGATACAGGCGAGTAAGTAATGGTGAGTGACTGATACGGATTAGTCTATAGTACAGGTGAGTCAGTGATAGACCTGGGTTAGAGTGATTGGGTTGCACAGGGGAGTGATACAGGTGAGTTGGTGGAACAAGTGAGTGAGGGGTCGACGTGGCGCAGAGGTAGAGAGGGTGCCTTGGGTTGGTGGTTCAAGCCCCGGCTGCTCTGAATAAGACACCTAACCCCTAATTTCTCCCCAGGCAAAAATGTAAAAAGCCACGGGTTTAAAGTGTCATGTAAGTTGCGTCTGCTAAATGACCTATAATGTAATGTGAGTCAGTGGTACAAGTGAGTCTCACCCTGAAGGTGCTTCCAGCCAGTGGCTGTTGTCTTCTCCCTGATTCGTTGAGGCCCAGACAGGCTGAGGTCACATAAAGGTCAGAGTAGTCTGGACCGCCAAAACAACATGATGTTGTCTTTGTCACTGGCAGAGAGACAGTCTGAAGCCGCACACCTGAAAGTACACGGGTAAAGTCTTTATAAAGAATCAACCATCACACAAACCCCAACCAGTAGAGAC